AACTTGTAGTGATTTGTTTGTTGCTATTGTTGGGAAACCATCTATACTGGCATTTGTAATATTTTTCCTGGTTTTTCGTTATTTGTTTGAACGCTTTTTTATAACACTTTATATTTCCGGTTCTAAAGGTTTTAGATTTGTAACTAAACATGTTGTATCCATATATAACTGACTCTAACTGCTTGGAAATAATCTATTGTATCAATGTTAGATTTTCAACTAAAACATCCTCAAATTGTGGATTTTTTTTTACCGTGTCCTTGCTATTCTAGGGTTTCTGTGCACAATATGTAGAATGTGTGCACCTTTCGACCACAATTTTTTTTATTAATTTGTGCTTAACTTCTTCAGTATCCAAATTAATATAGTCACAATGGTATATATATATATATCGTAACTTTTCTGAAGTTATTTATAAAGTTCTTATCAAATTAATAGCTTACATGCTCCCCTGTTATGAATAAATAAATCATCCGTGTGTTTATAAAGAAATATCTGGTAGTCATTTGCGATAGTTTGTATGGAATACCTATATTCGTCATGAAAGTAATATCAGCTAATAGGGGGCTAATGTTACCACCAGCAACCTCTATTTTCGGTTTTAAAGTGTGATTGCTGAAGTTGCAGGAAACTATTTTTTAAAATATAAGCCACCACATATAATAGATCTGCTGTGGTGTAAAATGCTTTGTAAATTCCTTTCATTTTTTTGAATTGAAATTGTAGTTACTTTGCTTTTTGATGTTGATTTGTGAAGAAGTGGTTTATGCCAGTGGAAAAATCTTCCGAAAAGCTTTCTTGTCTTGATGTGTTTTTCAGTAATTAATTTGTGTTCTTGATATAACTTATCATATCTGCTTCAATAGTTGCGTAAATCATTCAAGACTTCTTTTTTTTGATTGATATTTTGCTTCAATAGTTGCGTAAATCATTCAAGACTTCTTTTTTTGATTGATATTTTGTTGTGTTATTCAGTGCATTCGTTTATTGCTAATTTTCAAATGTTAGTCCTTGAATAGTGTCTAAATTTCCTATAATAACGTCGGTACGGTTACTCTTAATATTTGTCAGGTTCCTTGCATTTGCATTTTTTCTGAAAATCTTTGCTTCAATCTATCCTTTGTGATCCAGTCTATCTTGAGTGTAGTCAGAATAAAAGTAAAGTTAAAAATTTCTGGTAGTCATTCTACATGTATATTTTTGGCAAGAATTATAGAATTATATTCAACATTAGGTGCAGGTGTCCGATAATCGTATACGAATAAAAGTAAATATGGCTATGCTATCTACATCAGCAATACTTTTTCTTTGCAAAAAAGTGCTTAGTTCACAAATGTTTATGTCAAATCTTTCTGCCACAGCAACTGCACTTTATATCAAGTAATTATTTTTGCGTTTGAAACTTATTATCCCAAGTGAATTTTGCCAGCTTAATCAGCAATTACTTTTCCATCCATCAAAGTGAGCAAGACTAGATTGATAACGTGGGAGTCAATCTTTTTTTAGTGAGTAGCGGTAATGTATTCGTGATCCATGCCTGTTTGCTCCATTGTAACCTTCGATTCAGTTGGCTTGGCGCATGGAAGGCGGGGTAGGGGCCTAATTGAGGCTGCTCGCGTTCGCTTCGCAGTCTGCGTCTCTCTCGCCCGTGCTCTCTAATCATTATCTGGTCCTAATTAAGTCACGAAGCAACACCTTCCATCCGCCAAGCCAGTTGAACCAAAGGGTAACTTCGGTTAGCGTTGAAAATACAGTTCAAAGAAAAATACTGTAAAGAAGACCTTTGACTTCTAGATTTGATCAATTTGTCGCTCTTTTCATATTCCCTAGTCAAATCTAATTTGTTTTTCAACTTTTTTCAATAACTCGCCCTTTGACTAACCGATCTTTGGTTGCTCGCAACAAAACCTATCTCGTGTACTCTTACTGAACTACTTCCAAGAATTTGAACAATAGAACCACAGATCAAGGCCCTTTGCTCATATGTTGTGAGACGGGCAAACTAAACCACCTGACGCGACGACCCCTGAAAGCGATGGACAGAGCAGCCGCTTTGTTGCTGCCAGCGGTTTTGTCCCAGCATCGATTCCACGCAAGTAGCGGGGTGAAAAATATCAATAAATTGAGTCTTGTTTTTGTTATTTTTTGGTTGGAGGCGAGAATTAATATTATTTTTGACTAGGGCAGGAACAAATTATATAGAAAAGCTTCACATTCTGTAATTTTTCTTGACCTCTTTGTGAGAATGAATGATAATAGCAGGAATGTCATAACTTTCACATGAAATAGTACTTCATATTTCTCCGACAGTGGCGTACTCAGGATTTCTGTTGATGGGAGGAAGGGCGACAAAAAATTTTTTTCTGATGAAGGCGCGTTGAGTCAGCCAAGCACTCCGAAAAATTTTTTTGCTATGCTTCCCAAAATTTTTGAGGGCCCCTTACCCCGAAATTTCAGAAAAGGGGGGCGAAACTTGTTTTTATGAAAATTGAATTTCTAATAATTTTAAAAAATTGTCTTAATTATTTACAAACATAAACGATCACTTGCACATTTTTATAATATAAGTAACTCCGTTGTTATGTTGTTGTTTTTCCGAGTATTTGATATTGAAATTTCGGCTCTGCCTCCTTAGTACCGCAGCTGTACTGTTTTCATCTAGATTCGTTCTTTTTTAAAAGTCTTTTGTGTAATAGCTTTTTTCAACTTCGCGCTCGTCAGTCAAGATTCAAGGTATGGCGCTTTCTTTCCACACCCTACATAATCGTATCACTTCTTCGCCTTATATGTTTCTATAATCATGAGTTGCCCTACTGAAACTTTCTTGGCTTCAAAAAATGCTGCAATTGCATAAGGGACTGCAAAAATGAGTGCGAATATGCCTTTGTTATCATGTATCAAAAAATCCAAGACTGGAAAAGTAAATGCTTGTTTGAAAGTCGCTGCTATAGTGCCTAGTCATTCTTTCGTTGCTCTCGTTTTCTTGATGATTTTTATGCTCATCAATTTCACTATATTGCATTTTTGGAATTTTTGATGCATGCTGTTTTTTTTCTGAGCTCTTTTCTGCTGTTGGGACATGAGAGGTAATACTCACCGGTTCTTCTTTTCTGCGAAGATGAACGATATGCAAATAAGCATACGGTACTCTCCTGTCAATATGAGGCAAATATATTCGTCTTATATATAAAGCTGAATGTCTGTTTGTCTGTCTGTCTGTCTGTCTGTCTGTCTGTCTGTATGTCTGTCTGTCTGTACGTATGTTCCGAAAAGAAAATTCCATTTCTGAACCGATCCGGACCAAACTTGGCACACATACACTACGGGCCCCGGCGGTTGTCATAGGCTATTTTTCGTCATCGATCGATATCGATTTTATCGATTTTTTGCAAAGTTTGAGCTACGGGGCTGGGAGTTGGCACAGGGGGGTAATCGAGCATGCTCATTACGAATACAATATTAAGTTTTCAGAATTATCAATGCTTTTATCGATTTTATCGATTTTTTGCAAAGTTTGAGCTACGGGGCTGGGAGTTGGCACAGGGGAGTAATCGAGCATGCTGATTACTAAAACAGCGGGGATAGTGATTTGGCATGTAGGCGTGGGCACAGGGGAAGTTTCTTATAGGAGTAGGGATAGTGTTCTTTAACATAGTGTTTTGACAGGGCCGGGCGGAGCCGGGTAAGCCAGCTAGTATATAATAATATTAATATATTCGTATTCTTGATCCTCCTCCTACTGTACCTTATTCGGCTTATTTTACCACCTCAATGCTTGAAAATTTTACCATTATAATTTCTAAAACCTAATGATTTATGAACGCGTAAGTCTGATTGAGTGGTTCCTACGCGCTTACATGTCTCTCTAGCTTGCAAACAGTATAAAACCGAACTTCATTGACGTCGATGTTTACACTGCTAATTTCTTTGGTAGCCCCGGCAATCTCCTCGTCCCACTCAGCTCCTACATGATTCTAATCTGGCTGCTGCAAGCTGATATATTCTTACTTGGAATGTGATGTAGCAAATTATTTTCTTTTCTTCGCCGATAGTTATGGAATGTTTTGAGAACAAATTAAGTCTAGAAAAATATTTGAAGACTATGACACCCTATTTTTGCTGTTCTTTTTGTTTGCCCTAATGCTGTACCTCTCAATAATAAACAAGATCATGTCACCACTTCTTGTCAATGAAATGGGCTTGTTTTCCACATATGTTCAATGGACCACAACTGAAATCGGATTCTTTAACTTTCCTTTAGGTGGAAAATTGAATTAGACATAATTCGATTACAGATTTTTATTTATTATGAGTCTCTTTCCATTTTTACCATATTCTAGGTTTGCTTTCCTAAGTAAAAATAATTTATTTGTAAAGATTGTGTTCAACTTTTCGAAACATTCTTCTTTTTCTACATATGACCTCTATTGCGCAAAATAAATGAATAGTAAAGGGCCTAACAGAATTTCTGTAAAATGTATAAATTATGTCGGTTCTTTGTACTCTGTCTGAGCTGAATTATTTATTCAGCTGGAAAAAAGGAAAATACTGTACTGATACTGGCGTTTTTAACATCATCATTGTAAATTTGCAAAAAATTCTTTCTTCAAAAGAAAGAGGAGAAGGTGGCTAATTTTCAAGTCTTCTTGTTAAAAAATCTTTTTTTAAATATCTAGTAACACAAGCTTCAGCAGAGACAAGAATTTGTTGTTCAATTAGCTAATGTTTTCATATTCGTCTAGCTTATCAGCTTATTCTGGAACGATCGCTAGCAGGCAATCAGTGAAATTGAGAGTTTACATAGAAAATCACTAAATTCTTCCTAACTCTTTTGTACAAAGAACTTTTTGAATTAATTAGTGTCGGTTATTTCTTGAATATTGTAAGATTTTCTAACAGAGTTTACTCATATTACTATCTTGACTCTCATTCTGTTATCGTTCGCCGCGTACTGCAGTTTCGTGAAATTCCTGTAGGATTCCTTTACTATTTTTCTGGACCACATTTCTTTTGTGTGCAGATGTCGGGCGCCGGGTCCGTGCCTCACGCGCCTGGTGCACTCCGAACGGAGGAGCTGATGACTGACGAGGATTTTGTCAAAGCCATTGAGGCCATGGGAGGCGAAACTGATAGCGAAATTGGCGAATTGCTAAGTGGGTCTCGTGTTCATTCAGTTACTCATTTTTTTGATTTTCTGATTCTCAGAAGCCATGAACGAGAACCGGATTATCTCATGGGAAGAAGCTGAACGGATTTTGAATGATACTGGCAACGCACCCATAAAAAGCAGCCTTCCCGAACAAACCCGGCCGACAGAGCCCGACAATGATACCGATGTCGACGAGTGTATACAAAAACTTGTGGATAACGATGCAGCCCTTAAAGAAATCAATCTAAATAATATGAAGGTCGGGATTTTCTTACACTTCTCCTTCTCGGATTTTTGCAGTTTGTAAAATCTTTTTTTTAGCGCACACCTATTCCACAAATTCGACGATTGATCGAATCCTTGGCTTATAATGAACATTGTGAACGGCTATCACTTGCTAATATGGGTCTATATGATAACGATATCGCAGTAGGTTCTAATACAAACCTGCATCACATATAAAGTTTATATGACGATCATTAATTTAATTTACTTTATATTGCGATCTATTGCCCTCAAGTTGGCGGTCCCGCGTAAAATCTTATAATAATGGAAATTGATAATTTATTTTTTCGGCATCAGACTCCCACTGATTTACCATTTGGCAAGAAGTACTTGAGTTTGACCGATGGTTTGACGTCATTATTGCTGTGAACTGAATTAAAAACCTCTTAGAAATTGATTAGGAACTCCTCTTATTCGTTTACCATTTCCCATTCGAAAAGCGTAGAAGAGTACAGAGTATAGCACGATAGAAGACCAATACGAAAAGAGCTGTGGCAGTTTTTGGAAGTGAATTTAGTCGGTATTGTATTAAGGATATGCATTTTTTCAGCTAAGCATGAAAAATACCAGTATATTTTGTATCGCTGGATGCGGCATATAGCAAAGATCCAGTGCTATTTAAATTACTGAATAATTGAGCATTAATATTGTATTGTATCACGGTGAGCTCAATTTATAAATTTAATCTTATTTGCTATAAATTTTCTTGAGAAATTTTTCTCCTATTTAAAAGCATTAACTAATTATAACCTCAAAGTAGGTTCTGAACCTTTGAACTGAGTATCTTTCTTCTACTTTCCTTTTTCAGGTATTGATAACAGTAGTCGAGATGAACAAAGCACTGAAGAAGTTGAATCTGGAGACTAACTATCTTAGTGGCGACTTCTTCGCAAAATTATTCAAAGCAGCATTGGTAAATGAAACTTTAGAAGAAATCAAGGCAGTCAATCAGGCAAGTTTTGAGGCGTTTACTTTTTTTTATGTAAAAAGCCGAGGCTTCATTGTCGATTAAAAACGCATTTATCCCATTTTTCTTCATGTTCTAGTAACTATGAATATTAACAAATAACTTTATACTGCATCTGGACATAAGTGAAATTTGGAAACTTGGTCTTAGTGGTTATACGACGAATATTGTATTCATTTGCATGGAGGGGGAGGGGGGTGGGGAAGTTGCTACGAGAAAGTTAAAATTGATGGGATAAATTCTCATCCCAATAGCAACTGAACTTCTTGATCTACATCATGCCAAAATTCAGTGCACCTCATTTAACGAGAAGATTTGTTTACAAAATCGCAAAACTTATGTGCCAACTCAGTATTTTGTATTTTTTCAATGCGCTATCGACTAAACGTCTTCTTGGTTTTTGGTTTTTGGCTGTTATAACTTACTCTCATTCTCATTTCTGTCTGTATTGTCGTCCTTCTAGAGAGTGTATGCTTTCTTCCTTTACGTCTGAAAAAACAGTAGATATGTCAGCAGACTACAAATATAATTCTCCTGCTTATGATCCGTTAGCTGACGATCTGTCATTTAACCACTAGGTCCTCATAGGGAGTAACGTTGACTACTGTCTTCCTTGAGATTAATTGGCTACCGCTTGAGTTTACTATCACTTAGCGTGTCATTGTTTATTAACGACATACTTAGAGTGTATCACAATAATTAAGTAAATAAATGATCAAATAACATCTAGAAATGCAAGAAAATGCTCATCAAAAGCAACTTCGTCGTAACTGTATCCAGTAATTCAGTAAACTTTTTTCGATTTGAGCATATGCATTGTTATGGTAAAGAAACCTTCATCAAGCTTTCCGAGATTCAAAATTCTTTACAGAAGTGTATACATACATTCAAGTAGAGATAGGAGTTTTCTGAAGGAAAATTTTGCAAATTGTTACCAAATTGTATGTCGAGTAAGGAATGATGTGATAATACATTGCGAAAGTTTTGCAGTAGTCGGTGATAGACAGTAGTGTGAGAGAATTTATGATTTTTTGTTATGAACGTAGTGTTTGGAATGGAAGAATGTACCTAATGAGACTTAAGATAGCCATTGGCGAAGTGCACTGAAAGTTTAATGCACTCTGTTATCGCCGTTCTACAAATAATCATATTCAGGGTGTCTCATTTGCCACTGTTGCAGAAAAGGAGATCATCGATAGTATAGTTGCCAACAAAGGATTGACAAAGGTAATCTTTCTGGCGGGGTCATTCACAAATAAAAGGTATCGAGTCGTTTAGGTGTCTATTAATTTGAGGTTGCCGGAGGGACGACATAAGGTTGAAAACGCCACCTTGAGGAACGGAGAATACAGTAAGTTCGTTGCAAAAGTTGTATCTATTCTGCCTGCATACATGTTCAGAACGTGTTCTTCGACGGGAAGCAGCTTTGAGAGCAAAACAGGAAGCGGAAGAATTGGCGAAAAATCCCGTGGTGAGGCCTTGAGTCCATACTACAAAAACTTCTAACAATTTGTGTCACGCACCACTGACATATGTCCATTTTTTACGCATTCGCTTGGCCATCGATTCAACATCTTTTTCTTCTCTTCATTTCTTCTCGTATTTTGATTTTCTAGCCGCAGCTGCCTAAAGAACCCAAAAAAGAAATTAAGAAACCGGTAGTCGCCGCTGCTAAAAAGGAAAAGGTAAGTTCAAAGCCCGCCCTTTTTCGCATGCGCTTTTGCATCCACTTTTTAATTTTAGTTAGGGTGAATTCAATGTCCGGTTCTACGTTACGTTTCCGATGTCCATGTTTACGTCCATGTGCTGTTTGCAATAAAGTTCTATGTTATGTCTGCGTGTTTTATGTGCTTTTATGTACATCTTATACGAGTGTTAGCAGAAAAGCAATTTTTTTTCAATCTTTGGGTGGCATTTTGCTGTTATCTCTTATGTTTGTTCTGAGAAGTAGTATTCTCGCATGAGTCTGGACTGCCTTGAGTTTAGCCGTATGCAGAGTAGTTTTATCGAGTTTCTTTGGCGAGTCTCTTCAGTTTGTTGCCGTAGTCTAGCTGCTGTGGAAAACCACTCATGCCGTAAATCACAGCATTTATTTAGGAAACCCACGTTAACGATGCTAAGCCTGTTGCACCAAAACCGGCAGCTTCGACTATCAAGAATGAAGCTCCTACTAAAGCTATCCCTTCACAAATTACTAATCCAACTATTGCTTCAACTGCTAAAGAGAGAAAAAATGATGACGATACTAGTGATAGAATGCGTAGGAATTTTGTAGTTCCAAAAAAGAAGCTAGTAGAACCTAACGAACCCGAAGCTGCTTCGTCTAAGCCTAGATTGCCGAGCAAAGTTTCGATGTTAGCCAGGAGATTGTCTAATGTTGATACGAATACTCCTACACCTGTTCTACGCGTGAGTGAGGAGAAGGAGGTTCCCAAAAAAGTGCTACCGCAAAAGCCAGGATTTTTACCCGACGAGGATGACATAAAAGCAGCAACTTCTGTGATTAAAAACCGCGAAAAGGAATCTACTCTAAAGCGTCTAGATTCAAAGGTTGCTAGTTTGAGGAAGAAAGTGGAATCTGATAAGAAGGAACCTGCAGTACCTCTTAAGCCTGAAAAGATATCCGAAGAAAAGGCGGAGAATCATGCAAAAGATCGTTTGACGCAATCAGGACCTGTCGAAAAGAATGCTGAAGAAAAGTCCGAGCACAAAGCCGTGTCATCCGAGTCTGCAGACGACAAGCCTAGTGACAATAAGCCTGTAACCTTAGCGAAACAAAAACTGTTGTTCAAAAGAAAAGGCGCGGCGGACGTGGAGAAAAAGGAACACGCGATGGCTGACAAAACTCCCTCAGCTTCCCAAATCCCCGAAGAGAGCGACGAAGTAGATGAAAAGATTTCTGCAGCTCCTGCGAACTTTGTCCGGACAGAACTCGTAGACGGTGTTAATGGAGAAGTACCTACGGTGTCTCCCAAAAAAATTCCCACACTTGTAGACGGGATAGATGAGAAGAAGCCAACGACTGCAAAGCAATCTCCTTTGGATAGGAGAGCGACCGAAAATGCTGTGGCAGAAAAAGAGCGAAAGACTGTTATCAAGCCCCGAAAAGAATCTCAAGTCTTGGCTATGAGAAATCGCTTTCTCCAGAATGACAAAGGTTTGGCGAGCGGAATGCTCGATTTCACCAACAAGAAGATACCACCAACAAAGGCTCCACCAAAGCCATTAAACAAAGCAAATGGAGTTTTACCTTCAGAAGTGAAAACTCCTCTTCCCACGTCAGAAGAGAACGATACTGGAAAACAAAAAATAACTTTAGCAGAAATCAACCCTGAAGCCACCCCTACCACAACTCCTAAGCGAATTCCGATTAAGAAGATCGTAAAAAAGAATCGCGAATCAAATCTACCGCAAGCAAAACCGGAAGCTGAAAGTTCTCTTGCGGAGGAGAAGAATAGCAAGGATCCCAAGACAACCTCCAAGCTACCAAAGGTTGCTCCTGCCGTACCACCCAAAAAGAGGATCAGCTAAGCTTCGGATTACCATGCTAATTGCACTTTTGAAGGCGTGTATGTGGCGCTCATAAGGTTTTCTAAATGACACGACGTTATCTGGGTAACTCATTATCCTGTGCTTTGGGTACTATTTTAAACTCAGTTTTCACAAGCTTAGGTCAATACATTTCGATGTACATAATGATCGGGCTTGTTTGTGAAAATTACGTATATGATGTATATATGATGTTGTATAGCAGGACTAATTTAATGAATTTGTATACTTGAACGAGAAGATTCTGAAAAAAGCGAATAGTCATGATTTGGAACACATCTTCCCATTAACAAATGCATTTTCTCAAGCTCGGATGGACTTGACCTGGGTTCTTTTATATTTGATAATCGGACTGAGTCACTTCTTCTACATATATCAACAGGATTCGGTGACCAATCAATGGAGCAAAGCAAACTTTACAAAATGATTTTGAAGAGTTCAAATCGAGCTTGTAAACTTCAAAATAAAATAAGGGAGTTTCCAACCCAAAAAAACGAAAAAATTATATTTCAATTTAGAAATTTTTGAAATTTCTCACTGCTTCCGCGCACACTCTCCAACTTGCTGTATTTTTTGACGGCTGGAAGTCAGGAGGAATATGATGGGCATACATGAGCAAACTCGCCATGGTACTGGATTCTTCCCACATATCGTTTGTTCCCCAGCAAGACTCCCATAGGTACCACGTCATCTCGCTGCTTTTCGTTCTTTTGAACCTGTGTTAACCTCGGTCAGTTCCGTTGAAATGTAAGAAAAAACATGTCAAAAAGAGCGAAAACCAGCGTCGCACCAAGTACGCACGCTGGTTCACATGGGAACTTTTCTGGGGCGCACAGGATATGTGTTTGCATAGCTTAATCACTAATACTGTCATTGATATCAAGAATGTAACAAGGCTTATCTCACAAGTTTTTGAAGAACTCGTTATAATTGGGCTTTGTGAAGGCGTCTAGATCAATATTGTCACCAGCATGTATCAGGCGAGCTATCACAAAAGCGCATTTGAAACACGTTTGGGTTCAAAAAGCACCTCGTCCAAAAATGAATTTTTTTTCAAAAATTGGTAAGAAGCAAATGTGGCCTAGCTTAGTCCCGTTCCGGTGGGAGCCAAAAAACAAGCTGAAAACCGCATATTGAATAATTACTTTGAAAAGTGTAACCTTCTGAGTTTGACGTGCGAAGATGATGAATAATTATTTTTCTCGTCATGTTTGCAGTTGCGATGTAAAGGAGCCCAAAAGCTAACTCTAAATAGTGTAGTACGCCTCAGCCTCATTCAAACAATAGATTAGTAAATGTTTTGTGACAGCGTACAATATAGTTGTCCGTACCCATCAGACAGATCCAGCAATGTTCTTATCTTTCTCTTTTCACAACAGACTAGTATATACCACTAAAACTCTATTTTCTTTTGTTAAGAAAATCTTTCAAAATATCTATTGCTGTTGACAGGAGCCCTTAGACAAGAAATGATTAGCTGTCCAAACCAAACTAGTATTATGTGTCTCCTTTCAGCTGCACATTTGCGAGATATATGACACGTGCATAGCACTAACATACCTAACTCTTCTACTTACTGCCCCAAAACTCTTCTATATACTGACTTTACCAATTCGCTGCTGACACGAAATCTTTCTATCTCGAGCAAAACTGATAATTTCAATGCAACATAGCATGAAGCAAAAACTTTATCTGATGAACGGTTTGCGCCGCTTGCAAACGGGATGGGAAAGTCCTTCAACTATAGCCGTATATTAGCTTTACCAGCAGCCTTCAACTTCACGTACACTGACAGAAATGACTGAAGCTCGACCAAGCTAATCTGATACGTTGGCCTGATCTTCAGCCAAGCGCCTCCTTTTGTGAAGCAGTTCGAAAAGAACTGAAAAAGGTGGCAGAAATGACGAAAATATTGTGCAACAATCAAAGCGTCATTGATATTGCGTTCTCGATATGCAAGTAGACTTAAAAACCATCATATTAATGTGTTTTGTCCTGGGAAAGATTTATTTTGCCAATCTTTCAAATATATATATGCATAAATTAAACGAGTCTACTCGTTGGCTATATGCATATTTTAGGCGTCCCTAAAATATGCATACTGTAATTTTTTGATACTCTCACTGCTTCACTGTCATTCGCCGCGGCTTAGATGTTGCTGTAGAGCTGCCCCAACTCAAAGGCAGTGTCCCGGAAGATTTTGCTTCCCACCTTTCTGCATGGTTTAGGCCTTTTCGATACGTAGAACCCAGATATGTGCTTTAAACGGAGTGAAAAGACTGTTTTTGGGGCGCTTTTCCAGTTTCCAGAATGCAGCTCGGACGAGGTTTCAATGAAAAGTTGGGAGGCCCCGGCACGAAGAACCTGCTGCCTGTAATTTTTGCTTTGGATAACATGCGCAATGTGCGAGCCGTCGTGGGGTCCCGCGCTGAACAGGTAAGCAAAGCCGTCCGAGCTCGCCGAATGAGGTTGCGTGCGCCGGTTCAAGGGTTATTTTCTCGGCCTTGAGGGAACGTTAAACAGCCGGAGTGTGCCCAGAGGCTAGTGGGATGAGAGAACCCCACCACAGCTATATATCCCAGGGCGCGAATTTGCCGTAACACTGCCTTTAAGCGTCGGTACGGAATCCTTTTCGTTCCTGTAAAATTATAAGGTTGTAACATAAGTTTCGTAACACTTTTTCGTTTTCTACTAAAAAAATCAAGAAACTTTAGCAAAATCTAATGTTTAGCACATATGAGCAGTGGACCAAAGGGCTAACTATCGACATCATTTCCACTTTCACAGACTTGCATTAAGTGAGTATAGAGGCAATTTTACGAGGGCACTCAAAACCTATTTTTTTCCTCTAAAAATTCTCCTATCATTATTTCATGTGCTCTCAGATTTTTTATAGATTTCCGAGGACATTGGTACTAATATAAAGGCAATTTGGATGTCTGGCCTCTTCAATAACGCAAGTTGGCATTTGCCAAAAATAATTCAAAAATTTTTAAAAATTTAAAAAATTAGATTTTTGGTGGTATATACTGAAGAGCTACAATTCTAAATTTTTTTTGAGAAATCTATAAAGCTTTTTTCTTTAAGTGTAACAAGACTTATCTTACGAATAGTCAGGAACTTTTAGTGCATAGTCATTGTAGATGGGAGTGTTTCAGAAAGTTCTCAGAAAATCTAGAACCTTGTGTATCATTTTTCACTACTAATTTCACTATTCAATCGCCATAAAAAAAGCATTACGATAAGGCGTGAATTTGGTCCTTAACTCAGCCAGTCTGGTTAGGCTAATCTAAGAGTATCTGGGTTGTTTGTGCGTTTATGTAAAGCAATATAGCTTACAATGGTCAAATCTAATAAAGCCGCTCTACAAGTTCATTAAGATCTGCGAAAGCGACATTGACGATGTAACATTGTGCACATTATTTGGCCTCCTGTATCGTATAAGCCACAGTTTTTTCTCTATGTTATCGTAACGACTCATTATGATTAGCTATGCGATATCGTTGATAGAATACCCTAAACTTGAGCTGCTGAACGTTCGACATTTTACTGTGTGTTTTATGCCTTGAAATATATCGCAAGAAGTTCTGGACACCACCTTGATGAACGTCGACATCTATAAACAGTAATAGTGTTTTACATGCTCTTTTTTCTACATTTTTATCTCGAAGCAGTGATCCGTAAATAGTCTGGGAAGTCAAAGGCTTGTTTGCGCGATTATTTTATCTCGTATGCTAAAGCAAAGGCGATGAGGTTATGCTCACAGCTTTGCCTGCAGGTGGCGTGCATGGGTACCATCGTTCTTGTGCTTCAAAGTAAAAAGGTGCTTAACTTATCCTCATTGTCAAGCCCAAGCGACACGTATAATACTTATGAAAAAAGACATCATAAGTAGCATTATCATGGTATTTGTGCTGAGTGTTTTCAAGACGGAGTTTTTTTTTTCCAAAATCCTAGATTTCCATACTTCAGGCTTGTTTTAATGGCATTAAAGTTCATCTATTTGTTGACTTCAAAATCTTCAAGCGTTTTCTTGGTAAATTAATGAGACAACAATGTGAAAGGAGCATGGTACTGCCTCGCAGCAGTGCTTCGGAAAACCATCGATGATGATGGGGACTCTCTCTAGTATCTTTAAGGAAGCAAGTTCGGTAGTCTGCAACAAGACACCACAACTTTTTCATATGTTAAAGTAAGTCTGTTTGTTTGGTAACATCTCACACCTTCACACTCTTTCTAACCCTTTTCCAGTTCCCTCATCAAAAACATGGCAATAACTTGAGTAACCGATTTATAACAATAATAAAAATAATAACTTTAGGGCAAAGTTACTAAGGGAAAAGAGGACAAGCCCATGGCCGTCTACAAACTTCGTCGCGGACCATCGAAGGAGGAGAAAAAGGACAAGAAAGACATGGCGTAGTGTCAAGTGAATTTCGAATTCGCTCTCAAGAAAAGGCTTTCATCGTGATATAGTATCAGTGCCTTACCGAGTAGTCAGCACATACGAACTCGATTCTATATAATGCCATAATACCCATCACGTTACGGTTCGACTATTCCTTAAATCAGTCTTTGGACGCAAACAACTGCGTTTTGTGCCTTGGCAAGGAGCACAAACTTTGAAACTGTGTGCAGTTCGTCGTGTAAGAATAAAGATCTTTGAATTCAATATTCATTACCCGCATATTTTACAAAGAAAGTAGTACGAGTGTACCAAAACATCACAGTATGTTGGCGAAAGCAGCCTTTTCGATATCCCGTTGTGAACTGAAAAGATAATTGATGAGTGAAACTCACTGAATATTGTAAGAACATCACAGCTTCCCTTTGAATTCGCACTTAATGTCTACCAACGCCGAAAATATTTCAAATAGAGGCGTAAAGTCACACGCCTTCCGAAAATTTGGGATGATTCTAAGTTTTTACTGGTAATCATTTCGAAATTTATGTCGCTCCAAGGTAGACCAATGCAATAATTACATTTTTGGAAGAATTCACTGCAGTAACTTACTTCTTTCTGTTTGTCGGAATTTCTGAAACACTAATGTATCTCTTGTCCACGGAGCAGCGCTGTATTAGAATCATACAGTATACAAGTAGCCATAATATCACAGCGATTAGAACTACGAAGAACATCTCGTAGGCTATCTCGCAACATCTCGTACTCATCTTCACATTTTAGCCAGCCAGAGATGCATAGTAGTCCTAGAATGAAATAAATCAAATTTGCTTCCTCGAGCGATTTCAAAAAGTCACGAGAGCAAAAACATGTATTGTCAATGGAGAGATGATAGGGTGATCCTTACATTGATCTTCCATAGCTTGATATCAAAAAGTGGAATTGGTGTTTGCAGTTTCAATCATCAAATCTCGACTCGGAGGTGCGATATAACGCAAAGTGCTTTTTTTACGCTGTATTACTTTTTATTTTTAAATTCTTATTTTACAATGGGGAGCTAGTGAAGCAGATTCTGTAAAGCTCTTCCAGTAGAACATCTCTATCTGACCCCATCACTCACTGTATGAAGTCAGACACAACAATCTCAGTATAAGTACTTTGCTTGCAAGGAATTTTGTAAATTTTTTGAGAGATAAAATCGAAAAATTATACCTGTAGCACATGCCTCCCCCCTCCAAGAATGCTTCGCGAAATTCTCGAATACACAAATTAGACATAACGGTTTCTTTTTTAAAGGCAGTGTCCCGGCAGATTTTGCATCTCCACCTTTTTGCATGTCTTAGGCCTTTTCACCACGTAGAATCCGAATTTGAGCTTTGAACGGGCTGAAAAGGCCGATTTTGGGGCGTTTTCCCAATTCCAGAAAAGCAGCTTGGACGAAATTTTTAATGGAAAGTTGGGGAAGGTCCTCAGACGAAGATCCTGTCGCCTGTAATTCTTGCTTTGGATAGCATGCATCATGGGGGAGAGCGCTCGTGGGGTCTCGCGCAGAACAGGAGGGGAAGGCCGTCCAAGCGCGCGCCAGTTGGGGTTGCGCGCGCCTGTTCAAGGGCAATTTTCTCGGCCCAGGGGGAACATCACCCAGCCGGAGTGAGCCTGGAGGTCGATGGGGTGACCAGGAACCCCACCACACGTATATCCCCCAGGACCCGAATCTGCCGGGACACTGCCTTCAAGTAGCTCTTTAGATAAGGAATTCATCGGTGCAGAATAAATTTATCGATGCAGTAGCACTGATCAATTTGAGATTATAGAAATCTCATAAAAAGTGTTGACTAATTTGCAGTGAGTTTTTTTCTCAACTATTTTCATTGGTCGGTTCATTTCGTAGGAAAGTTCAAACGGTTTTCCATGGTTTGAGGCAGTTAAGAGAAGCGAAGAGAATGAGCTAGCTGGCAGCAATGTTGACAAGGATGAGCAGCTGAGTCCCATATTCACGAAGAAGCCTTTGCTCGGTTGCCTATGGATGTTAAGCGCATTATGTCTAATACGATAATTCGATTCGCTTCACGAGGACACACTATGTGCCGCATTTCCGACTACATAGTGAATGATTTACGCAATTAGCGGAAATTGTACACTCGAACAAGGTTTTACTAAAATACTGTCCAAGCAGTCATGCAAACAGTCTAAACGCTTAATTTTTTTTGACTTTCAAGATCAGTAACCTCTCAAATATGTTATCAAAAAACGTTCATAATAACCTTCTTTCGAATAAACAGAAAATAACCCAAGGTGTATAATCTCCCCTATCGCAATGAAAAAGAGTAAAGTTGATATAGCACTCTTTCAAAGCAAACGCAGCGAACGACATCAACATGATCTAAAAATATGTGCATACTAACTGACAAAGATTTTGAAGGAGGCAGATATCTGTACATAAGTTTTTGCTCAGCAGCCTCTTAACTGAATTTGCAGCTGGGGGCCACCATTAGAACCAAGCATGCACTGAAAGTGCCCTTGATGTTAGTGATGACACCCGAATTTCCTGCTCCTGGTAGAATTTCCTGTGAAAAACACCAGAAGCGGAAAAGCATTCGAACGTCTTCATTGGAGTGTCTGTTATCTACTGCAAGAAGATTTTTTATCAGCAGCAATAATAAAGTGCATATATTACTCACACGTAAACTATATAGTATAAAGCCTAGAATGACAACTCAGTTTATGAACACAAGCAGGAAGCTTGCAAAGATCATACAAGTGTTGAATCTCATAAACAATTCGAACGATACAAGAAGACTTGAGGAGAAGCAACAGACTGTTTTTCTATTCAGCTAATTGTTTATTCAAGGAACTGAGATAAGCAGCTAGACAGATTCTTAGAATAAGATAATGCTCTACTACTCGGACCTCATTGAATGCTCTTAAAAACAAAGACAAATTTTTTGATTTAGATCGGAGCATAGATAGTCCTTTACGCTTGATTATTTGTTGCAGAGTTCAAGCTACCATAATCAAGCAGGAACTTTGACATGTTCAACAAAGTCATTGAGCTTTGCAGAAAAAGCCAGAAGAACAGATCAGTTGCTGTTCTAATCTTTCTAAGAAAGTCCTTATTCTAACGGTTATAAATTCATTGCAGTACAATACATAATCTTTCCGAAAACAAAACCTGCGAACAATGTTTTTGTGATGGTCACGTTTCACAACTTTTCTAAATTTTTTACATCAACCCTCCGAAAGTGTTCGCAACGGATAGAGCACATCCTACAAGACATAAAATATGTTTCTCCTTTCTATATCTCCTTATGGTTTTTTGATAAAATTCTTACCGAAACCATAGGATTTTGGAGGCCTACGTAAGATTCAAACGCATTAAACACAAAGAATTCTTGGAATTTGCAACCGTCAAGAAATATTATTGCCTAACACTATTTTTACAAAGCTAATAAGCGTTTACGGATTCGGAATATCAAATTTCAGAATTTTCTTTACAGCCTGGGGCGCGCGGAAAACAATTATGATGATTTTATCCTCGGAGACCTTGCGAATCGAAAACAAAACACATCAAATAGAGTAGAAAAAGCTGAGCAGCATCCAGATGCCGTTTGTTGTTCTACGATTTTTGAGTTGACCAAATATGGAAATTGGTACGATGAAAAAAATTCTGTTGCAAAATTATGACGAATTGTGGAAAGGAGAGAAAATGTTTTGGGCTTTGTAGGGTTTGCTCTATCTGTCCTTCACTTGGACTCCTTCGGAGGGTTGATATAGAAACTTAGAAAAATCGTGAACCTTGAGCATATCAAAAAGCACCAATCGTAGATTTTGGTAACTTTGCGAGAGCTCATTGATTATGCTGCAATGAATTTATGACCATCAAAAAGAAAAAGCTGCATCGAGTGCTACCAAGGTCTTTTAGGTTGAGCCAGACCGCGCTGCGTAAGCGGGGTACGCAGCGTACGCACATGTGCATAAAATGGCGCGTACGCCGCATGCGCCGCGAAGTTTGGCCCAACTCTTAGGAACTCTCATTGTTCCACGAGATAAGACGTTTATTTGTAAAAGAGGCGTTACTCTCGGAACTCTTAATATTGCATAACTGGATGTTGATTTTTTCTCATATAATTGAATCAAACGTCAAAGTTCGCTATTTATTGGATACTAGGAACCCGGGAATTTTTTAGTTTCTTACAAGGGAAGTTCACTTACAAGGGAAGGATAGTTGGATGCCGCGGCCATTCCTAATGATTTGTATACCAAAAAATGCGCCTTCGAATGCAGATTCTGAATCTGTGCTCGAAATCTGCGAAACGATCTTTTGAAGAAAGTTATGAACTTTTTTCCTTGAAAATTTAGCCTACTTTTGGATAGTAAAAATCACCAGATTTGATCTAGCCTACCGTTTGATGCTACTGAAGAAAATTTTAGACGTAGTAGTATTTATTTAGACTATCTGGATCATACTCACATTTGGAAAGAAGAGAAAATTTTTTTATTGATGACTTTGACCCTCCGCAGGAACGCAATTTCTTTAATGAAAAAAAAATCATAACTCCATTCAGCTTATCGTTTCGCAGATATGAAAGACAGTCTACGAACCAGCATTCAAAAGCGCATTTTCTGGTATACAAATCATTATGAATGGCTACGGCATCCAAGTATCCTTCCCCTGTTAGTCGAAGTGACAATCCGAAAGGAGATCTATACCAACGGATAGAGCTGAAAACGCTGATCTCAGATATACCTTCTATAATATATCTGCGACGCATTATTCTGAAAAAAGTTATGAGCTTGTCTAAAGCCAAACTTTCGTGCATTTTGAGTCGCAAAATCATGATAATCGCTACACAAAAATGTGCAAGCTCAAGCAAACCACTTAGTAAACATTGTAGGTCTAATTTGAGTTCATCCGAACGCTTTCGAGTGTTTTCGACCATGTCGATTATCCACAGGTCGCCATTTCCTCTAGATCACACTTCCATTATATATACAAAAAAGCCCATAACCTCCATCTAGAAGAACGCGTCGCATATATTGAAGATATATTTGAAAACATCGTTTTACGTCCTATTCATTGGTAATTTCCAAAAAGTTTCCGAAGCGACGCGTTTTTCTAGATGGAGGCTATGGGGTTTTTTCATATACATAATGGAAGTGTGATCTAGGAATGAAATGAATCTGCGGATGAACAACATGGTCGAAAAACACTCGAAAGCCTTCGGATAAACTCGTCTCAGATTTACAATGCTTACTAGGTGGTTTGCTTGAGCTTGCACACTTTTGTGTAGCGATTATCATGATTTTGCGACTCAAAATGCACAAAAATTTGGCTTTATAAAAGCTCATAACTTTTTTCAGAACAACGCGTCGCAGATATAGAAGGTATATCTGAGATCAGCGTTTCAAGCTCTATCCATTGGTCTAGTCTCCTTCCGAATCGCCACTTCGACTAAGTGAACTTCCCTTGTTAGTCAATCCAAGCTAAAAGTGGATACAAATCTCGCAAACAGCAATTAGGAGGTGAGCTATTAGTACATAGAGCAGGGTCGACTTGAAGTCTCAATAATCATAATTGACAGTTCAAAATCGTAACCATGATGCGGGACATACTTCTGAGGAAATACTATTAAAGTACAAAAATTTGATGCAATCTTGTAATAGTAACTGGATTGAGTTTGCAAGGTTCAACAAAGACGCTAATCCGGTAGCACCCGCACCTCTTTAAATGGTCTGACAATCTTTATCATACGTCCGGTAAGCCCCATAAACAATGGCATTCATATGTGCCATAAAATGGTGCTGACGATATGA